CCTTCTTCTATTAAAATATCCATTCCTTATATTCCATCATCTGCAATAGCTGCTACTACAAGCTCTTTAATGAGGGTGATTTGTCCTATTTCTATTTCAGATTTAGCTTTGCCTTTTTCTCTTAGAGGTTCACCACTACAGTTGCATAATTCTGTTGATTTTTCTAACACTGGTCTTCTGTTCTTTGGTAATCTGTTGAAACCCTCTCTGAAATCACAGTTCTAGCAGCTCCAGTATCCACTGTGAAATTAACTTTAAGTCCATTTACTGCTGCTTCTAGAAGTACTCCTTCATTTAAATGCTTAAATATTTCATTGGATGGTCTGCTTTTCTATCCCAAATTAACTTTCATAATGTGGTCTGTCAAAGTTTCCTTCAGGGTCAGCTCTTGACCAGCAGAGTCAACCCTGTCTAGTTTAAAGAAGGAGCAAATGTTTGATTTGTAGCTGCATTTCTCTGCCCATCAGCAGAACCTTGTGAGGGATTATCTCTTAGCATTGGAGTCCATCTCGTTGTTGCTGTGGGTCTGTTAGGAACTCGTGGTTTTGGGGGCAAACCTTAGCAAAATGAAACAGATTTCCACACTTAAAACATGTTCTATCATGCGTATGAGGTTCTCTGGTACGGTATTGAGGTGCTTTATTTTGACTGTCAATCATCAGACTTTTCATCAAGTTCTGCAAATCGTCTCTCTTCATACATATTATCTCTACATTCACTCTGTTTCCAGCATGTAAAGGTTCTGTTGAACAGTTATCTCCCTTTTCTGACTCTTTTTCCCTTTGTAATTCCCTGACTCTTTTCCATGCCATTCTGATTAGTTTGTATTTTCTTCATATCTTTTACTTTCACTTGTCTTGCTATTCTCTTTGGTCTTTTGTCTTGCTCATCTGTGTAGCCAGACTTCTTAGCCTCTGTGAAGTTGATCACATGTCTGATAGCTTCATCAATATTGGCAGGATCTTTGACAAATTCTATCTGAAACCTTGCATTCTCATCATTAAGTCCATCTAAAAATCTCCGGAGTAAATCCTAACATCTTGTCCCAGGATTTCTGTTAGGATAAGCTTTGTCGTAGAGTCTTTTCAGCTCAGCTCCATACTGAGTTGCGGTTTCTCTATGCTTCTGATCTCTTCTGTTAAACTGCAGTTTATAACTACGAGCTGTGTCAATAATGCTGAATCTGTTGTTAAGTTCTTCCACAAGTTCCTCATAGTTGTCAATTTTCTCTTGTGATAGTTGTCCGAACACAAAATCACCTGCTTTTCCATATATTCTGGGTAATAACTGAGCAAGTTTTTGTCCTCTGAACCAATGTTGTCTCCTTGCTACTGTTTTAAATCTGTTAAACCATACCTTCCAATCCTCTTCACCTGTAAAAGGAGGTAACTTCACATTGTGTGATTTTAAAGAGCATTTTTCTTGAACTCCTAGGTCCAAGTCATCCGTATAGTCTTCTGTATGAAATTCCTCTTCACTGTCATCTGATGACGATTGACTTAAAAATCTTCTTCTTTGGGTTGACATTCTTTTCTGTTTTTGTGACTTTTTTTACGAGGGCGTTGGTTGCTTTTAATGGAGGTTCGACTTCTCTTTTCTGTGTTTTCATGTTGTCTCTTGTCATTATCAACATCTTGCTGCTCATTTGAAACTTTCCAAAAGGCTTTAGTAATGGTAGTCACTTAAGTTTGACTCATTTCCAGCAATGCTCTTTTAACAGCTCCATACACTGTTTTTGTCATGTTATCTGTGTTTTCACTCTGATCTCTTCTTCCAGGTGCATGAGGTTGAGATTTGGTGAAATCAACCTTCGCCTCACTTCAAATGGTGAATGAATAGGACTCACTGGTGCTATGATATCCCTGTCTCCTTGATCAATACATGTATCTGTGTCATTTCTATCTCTGCATGCATGAAATTCTACTTCATCATCTCTGTTTGTGTTTGGCGCAATGTCTTGATCTGCTTCCATTCTGTTCGGGTTCTGAAGTACTGCAATATTCTTACTGCCACCATGAAAGTCTTTCATGCTGTCAACTTTCCTCTTACAAACTTCTGTATCAGTGTCTGTGTCTGTTGGTCTGTCACTCTCCTCTCTGTGTTGACTTCTTAAACCATTAAACCAAGGTTTCTTCTCCTGCTTGCCATTTCTTTTTTCATAACAACAGTAGCACTCTGTTTATTTACAGGATCTCGTTTTCTTTGCATATTAAAAGCCGAGATAGGTGATAAAATGAAAAATCACATGTGCCATCAACTTAGGTCTCAAGTTTGAAACCTCTGCTAACAGTATTCACTCTCACTGAATAACATACTCTAGGACCTCTCTCACTGAACCCTGTCAACCAGGACTACCTCTCACTTAGTCCTAAAGTTAAACTGATTTTACAAAACATGAACACTACAACTCTACTACAACTACAACAACTATCACTACAACATCAGACTACAGTCCTTCTCAAAACTTCTCTTCTCAACATCAATAAATAAATTAATTAAAAAAACTGGTATCCCAGACTCCGATCCAGTTGGTGCATCGTGACATCGTAGGTCTGCTTCCAAGGCTCTCAGGCACGTTGAAGACTAAAGTCTGTACAGTGTACACCCTCCAACAAGTCAGCTCACTGCTACTATCAACTTCTTGGACCGTAGCTGAACAAATTCAAGGCTGGGCACGTATCTCTGAATGTGGACGCACCTCTGCGAAGTCACATCCCACCGGTGCCACCACGAAATTGTGTAGCGGGAAAGTCCTTTTCCCAGTAGCGCTGCCACCAGCTGATTAGCTCCCATCAGCAAGGAAACTCAAATATGGCCTCTTATAAAAATAAAATAAAATGACCTGACCTGTTCAACTCTCAATACTTTTACTCTGACACTGACCATTACCAACACCTGAACAGAAGTCTAAAAGACATGTAAATGAGACACAAGTTCATAAAGTTAACGAATTTATTCATTCAAATCAATATAACAAGCAAAATATAAACCAACGCGGCTGAGGACTTCACTCATGTGCGTAAAATTGTTTCACAAAACCGACACGATGACGAGATCGACCAATATCTTAGCACAAATAAAGGGGAAAAACTCGGGATAACTCAATTTGACAAAACAAGAAGGTCAATCACTTCTTGTATAAAATTTAAAAGCTAAACTCATCTGAGGCTATCACTCCTGAGTTTCTTATCAGTAATTAGAAATGAATAAGCTATAGAATTCTCAGGGGAAAATCACCCTTAAGAATCTAAAAGTTCCAAAAATAATTTCTCTGAGGAAAATCACTCTTGAGAAATACCTTAAGTCTTCATACAACAGTAATTAAATTATCAATTACAATGATCACTTGAGACAATCATCAAGTTATGTTTTTAACAAAGACTTTTCTAAAATATTATTTCTGTCACAAATAATTAAATGAGAGAGCCTAATTTAAGAAATCAGATAGGCCAGACTTTCCAATAAAGTTAAAATTCATTGACTCAATAAAGTTCTACCAAATGTAGTTTGCTATCAAATCTCAACTGATCAAAGTCTCAAACAATCTTTAAAATTAGCCAAATAAATTATCAAAATATTTGCTACTTCTCATAAATCAATAAAACAATATATTCAATCAATAAGTTTCTTTTCAAAAATTAAGATGTAGCCTAAACAATAACAAAATAAAATATAAAACGACTTACGTTGCCTCAAGAATGAGAGAGAACCAAAAGACTTCGAATTACAGAATTTACCAGGCTTTTATACTATGAAAAACAGAATTCTATACATCGCACGAGCAAAACAGAAAAATACAGAAAAACACAGAATCTGTATTATCACGTTACATTAACAGAAAATATATAAAATTGTCTATAAAATTATAAAACAAACCGTAATATTTACATTATAAACATTTCTTATGTTTTCAAAAATCTCGTATACATTCAGTCAATATCGAAAGAACATGCCATTCATATTCCCCGCAGTAGCAGAAAAATCGATAATCTAACATTCGGAATGCCTCAGTATTCACTTTACAAATCAAAGTAAACTCCGTATACACAGGAAGTGGGAAAGTAAACATGATGTAAACACATGTGCTTCATTACCGTAGATCACATTAGTAATTGATAAACTTTATACATGTACATTAATCCAAACTGTTACTATCATGTACACTTCTTTTACTTACACTTTCAAAACTACAATGATATAAAAATAAAGGAAGGGGGGGGGGGGTCATAACACTACAGGCATTTAAAAACAAGTACTCTGGCTGCACTTTATTTTTCTGTAGCCCGTTTAAACATTCCCGAGGTCTATACCAATTTTTCCGGGTGCGCAACTTATAGAATGCTAGAAAAAGACCCCCCCCCCCCATTTGTAGTCATTTTCAAGCCTCTAATTTTTTTAACACCTCATATAAACTAACGATAAAACTTCATAGAACTTACAGAATGGGGTAAAAATTGCAAATTTCACGGAACAATTGTGTCATACCACATGCCTGAAATAACGGGATTTTTTGACAAATGCTCATATCGAAAGAGTTTTATCTCAGTAACATTCAGGTAGAGGTTGTGCCGCCTGGAGATACCATTGCTTACAAAACATAACAATTTATTAAAAAATAAAACTTATGATTGATGATTTATTCTATAGATGGAGAAGATGATGCTAACTAAATGTACTAAAATTCATTGATGTACCTAAGGCGGTTATAATGTTATGGCGCTATTCCACGACCTTTTTGATAACCCCTCGTACATCCTACTTACACTAAATCTTTGTCTGTTCTAGGGTCTACATTTTACTCACACTAGATCTTTGTCTGTACTAGTCTTATCCTACTTTCATTTAATATTTGTCTGTACTAGAGTCTAAATTATATCCTACCCATGCTAAATCTTTGGCTGATTTAGTGTCCTAATACTACTTAAACTAAATCTTTGGATCTTTGGCTGATTAAGACTGAGTGTAAATCCTACTTGATTTTGAGTGTAACTCCAACTTACACCAAATCCTTGGCTGATTTGGGGTTAACATCCTCTTTACCAAGAACTTTTCTGATCTCTTTGTAGACTTTATCCTGTATATCTTGATAAGTTGCCAAAAAGTATACTGCCCATGTTAGAACTGTGTAAAATAAAGTGGAACGTGAAACAGGGATCGACAATAGTTGTCCAATTGTCCGCGCCAAGTTAATTCTCAGTTCGGGCAAGTGAAATTATAATTTTTTTTCAAATGATATCCGGTTTATTGCGTTTCTGTCGTTAATAGGATAGGCAGTTTATAGTATTCATGGGAAGACCCTAGTATATATAAGAAGCCAAAGGGCCTTATTGGTCACCTGTGTTATTTATTATCATACCCGAGTAATTAGAACCAACCTTAATCATGATAACTATACACTTAATTTGTCGTTAAATACTAGTGCTCAGGAACAGAGAGGACGATTTTCCAAAAAAAAAAAAAAAAAAAAAAATATGGCATATTCACTGTATTATGAATAGAGCCCCGCCCTCATACCAGAATCTCTATTTCTGGGGTCATGAATTTCATAATTATGGAAGAGGCACTATATGCACTACAGTTGTCTGCTTAACCGATCGCGACAGAGGGAGAAAGGAAGATTTTTAATGAAATATATGTGATCAATGAAGTTCCACCCTAACAACAGAATCCCTGTGACGGTACATATTGTTGTTTTGTACATATTGTCGTCGGCGACAATATGTACCTACCATCACTGCACATATTGTCGTCCATCGGTACATATTGTCGCCGACTGAAAAGTTACATATGTACATATTGTCGCTGGCGACATTTTGTGCCTCACTCTCACTGTACATATTGTCGCCCCACAGATATTGCTGTTTAAAGATGTCTTTTGTTGTTTTTTGGAAGTTTTGTGAATGTAATTTGCGTGGGAATCACACTGAAGTGTCTCTTATGCTATTTCATGCAGCATGATTGTGACGGTACATTTTGTCGTCCTGTTCATATTGTCGCCGGCGACAATGTGTACCTTCCCTCACTGCGCATATTGTCGTCCATCAGTGTTATTGTATTTGTTAAGTTAATTATTTAATTATGAAATTTTACCTGTGGACTAAATATATACAAGTTAAACAAACAGAATTTACCAAAGCAAAAAAAAAAAAAAAATCAAATCACCAAGCGAAGGGGGTGCTACATCTGTCTTTGGTGTTTGAGAAGATTTTTAAAGATTTTCTGTGTAGTTTCCTATGTAGAACTTTGATCACCCATTGTGGCCCCACATTACCCTTGGGGTCATGACTTGAACAGAATTGATTTTGTTTTTGTTTGTTTGTTTGTTTGTTGTTAAAATGTCCCTCTCGAGAATTTTTCATTCATATTGAGAGGTCACCACTCTCCGGTGGAGGGCAGCAAATTTAGACCTATACTAGGCACTCAGGATCATTGAGCAGTGAGAGGTCTTTTTGTGCCAGCACCTCAAAATTGAACGTATGCTATGAAGCTTTCACATAAGTATCATCTCCTCTGACCCAGTAGTTCTTGAAAAGAAGATTTTGAAAGATTTTTTTCTAAATATTCTATGAAAAACTTAGATCATCTATTGTAGCCACACCAATCCCCCGAGGGACATGATCTGAATAAAACTGAATCTTCATTTTTAATGAAGCTTTCACACAAGTTTAAACTTTTCTGACACAGTGGATGTTGAGAAGATTTTTAGAAGTCACTAACTTTTCACTTATTCTTCACCATTTCTCTTGAAAGAAGGCATGGCTCTTCATTTGAACAAACTTGAATCCCCTTTATCCACGGATGCAAGTGTGGCAAGTTTGGTTGAAATTAACCCAGTAGTTCTTGAGAAAAAGCTAAAATTATGAATAGTTTACAGACCAACGGAAGGTCAGACAAAATGTGATCAGTAAAGCTTACTTGAACTAACTTCCAGTTCAGGTGATCTAAAAATGTTACTTTTTGCGTTATTCTTATATTATTATTAACAATAAATTATATTTATAATATTATATCGGCACATGATCGTATATAAGAATAACGCAAAAAATAATTTCCAAATAATCATTACTACTGAACAAAAAAAACATATCTGTATTCAATCTCCAAGTATATGTTACAAGAAAAAAAGAATAGATGATTTATCAGATATGTCAAGAATTACGGTATCTATATATGTCATATTGATGTACATCAATCCTGGATACAATTTTCTGTCCAAAAAGTTTTCTCCCTACAGTATTGTGAGAAATGCTGTCTTCCTCCGTGCGTATGCGTGTTTGTCAATCTCTCCTTTTCTCAAGTAAATATTCAGCAAAACAATATATCGACGACAATATATGCCAACCTTGACTGTACATATTGTCGCCGACGACAATATGTGCTTGTGCTTGACTGTACATTTTGTCGTCCATTATGTAGGAGGAAAATAAGGCTCGTCTCGCCGGCGACAATATGTACCGATGGACGACAATATGTGCATTGAGGGTAGGTACATATTGTCGCCGACGACAATATGTACAAAACGACAATATGTACCGTCACAACCCCTTATCTTGAGGCCATAAATTTCACAATTTTGGAAGAGGCACCATAGCTCATTATAACCATCCACCTAGTTTTCTGCTAAATGTACAGAGATGTTGAAGTTTTTTAAAAGCATTAATGCATTTTCACTATATCTATTAAGCCCAGCCGTAACAATGGATCCCCTGATCCTGAGGCCATGAATTTCAAAATTTTGAAAGAGATACTCTTGCTGATCATAACTGTGTTTTAAGTTTGTTAGCTAAATCTTTACAGGTAGATAAGATTTATATATAATTGCTGCCTTTTCACTATACAATAAATGAAGCCCCGCCCTATCACCAGGACCCCTAACCCTGGGGCCATAAATTTCACAATTTTGGTAGAGGGCTCAATCTCATTGTAATCATATATACAGTTTGATTGCTCGATGTCCAGGAGAAAAAAGAAATCTTTTGAAGATTACATTAATTTGGATTGATTTAGTTCCATCCTTCAGGTGACCATGAAAATCATAATTTTTTCTCCTTTACCCACAGATTCTATATACCAAAATCGGTTGAAACTGGTTCAGCAGTTCCAAAGAAGAAGGTGAAAATGTTTAAAAGTTTACCTCCTACGGACGACACACGATGCAACACGACATACAAAAACATACTAGTATACAGTAGGTCACCACGTCACTTTAGTGACCCGGGTGACCAAATAAGATCCATAAAATAATTCTTACGATTTCCTGTTGTGTGGTAACCTCCAATCACGTATGTAATGACATCTGAGAAGATCTGGTCTTTATCCGTGGTGCTATCTAGTAGTGCATCTATGAACAAATATTCATCTGCGTCTTTCAGTTTCTTGGGATTCTTTATAATTTTCTTAAAAAGCTCTAGCATCCTGTTTTTTGCTGAAAAAGAAACTAACAATCTGCACATAGACACAACTCTATCAGGCCTCTCCTCTTCAATTTTTAGCATTTTAAACTTATTGCTACATTAATATCGAGCAGAAAATCAAGTTTTTCTGTTCATTGCATGTCTGCAAATCTCTGGGTTTTTTTTTTTTTTTTTTTTTTTTTTTTTTTTTTTTTTTGATTTTAAAGGGAAAAAACAACTTTTTAATGAGAAAAAAAGCAATCTAGCAATGCAATAATTTTTTTCATATGCAGAAGAGATTGAATGGCCTCCCCTCAGAAAGGGGATATTTGCCGTCTTGCAGAAAAATGTTAAATTTGTTTTACATACAAAACATTGATTACTCCCCCTCCATCTACTTAAAGTGGACTTCGGGCCTTCCTGGATGGGAAGGTATAAGAACTTTGATATACAAAGGATTGAGGATCCCTACGTCGCCCATAAAATGAGGAGGGGGTTGGGGTGGCCTTCAATGAAAAAGAAAGGGTGAATTTTTTATATACAACTGTACGAGTATAGCAGGATTTAGATTTTGGCGCTTATGGCGATAAATCATGAGCACCATTTAAGTATGATTTATGTCATTACTAAATATTTAATTTTATGAAAATCTCCATCAACTGTGCTTAATTTGGTATTTGTTAAAAAAAAAAAAGTACACATGCGGTATAGTATTTTTGGGTATGAAAGTGTACACAAAGATTCGTTTTATAAGTTTTAGTAAGAAAAATATCCAAAAGTTTGCTCTGTAAAATATATTTCAAAAGAACATTTTCTACTTGAAGCCCCACACTTTGAGTAAAGATCTATTTATATCAAAGATTGATACAGTTGTACAATATGCAAAACCATTCATATTAGATAAAATGACTGTATCTGAATGTGAAACCTTGATTTTACAAAATTAGATTCTATTTTCTATACATGTAAGCTGACAATTCACATTGTGATAAAAATAATAATTGTTTCTATTTATTATGTTAGTTAGCAACTGAGTTCAAAAAAGATCAGTTAGCTATTATGAATTTGTATTGATTATAAGAAATTCTTGGCTTTAAGGACAGATGATACAAACTTTTATCAAAAATCTGGAAAAGAACGACTTAAGTCATGTTCATATAAGTAAAATGAATACGTTTAACCGCATATTTTTTTTAATTTTTCAATCAAAGTTTCACAAAAATGGGATTTAAAGTGACAAAAAGTTGTATAGGTTAATAAGGATGGTTCCACAAAGATAGATTTTTGAACATCATAAAAGGTTTACAAATTCTTTATATTTTAGAAATTTATTATTTGAATCATTTACAACCAAAATAGGTCCAAAAATATATACCAATCCAGGCATCCATCTTTTTGTTTGTATCACCTGTCCTTAAATTGGAATGTATGAAAACAGAATGAAGCCAAAAACCTTCTCTGTAGTAAATAGATTTAACTCATTCTCTGAGCCATGAGATGCAAACGTTCGGAACTTATACCCACTTTCTGTGATGCTAAATGAATGAGATTCATTGACTTCCCCTGTATGTGACATCAGTCCATTGTAGGTTTATTCCTTGTGTAAGCCTATACTCATTTCAGCTAGATGGGTTGAGTCATCGCAGATAAATTGCACCATCGAGTGCCCACGGGGAGATTTGAACCAAGAACCTCTTAGTTAATAAGCCAAATACCTACGACCACTAAGACATGTACACCAAGATATACTTAACCTTCCTCAAAAGCTTTTATTCTTGAACTTCCTTCCTCTGGGAAATCTGTTAATCTTCTTTCCATTTCCCCCCATACCTACAAAAAGTATATTACTCCTGAAATACTATATGAATTTCCCCATTACAGTAAATCTCGTTTATAGCAAGCTGAGCATTTCAAATTAATGTAGATTAATAACCTGTGAACAGGTCATAAAACTCAGAACCCTGGAAATTCCAGAGGTGGTATCAGGTGCTTAGGAAGAATAAATGCCATGAGCTGTATGTATTAATCAGGAAAACGGAATAATCCAAAGTCAAATTTAGAATAAACATAGAGATCTAACAATTGGCATGAAATATGTCAGTCAAAATACGACCCCATAATAGGTTTATTTATTATTAAGTCAATTTATCAAAACGATATATATGCACCATAGAATTAACGAAATGGTGACTTTAATCAGGGTTTTCGAAAGCTCTGTAAAATCAATTTGTATGTCAGTAGCCTGCTTTAATTTAAAAATTGATTGTACTCGGAGCATGCTCTTGAGTATCGAAGAAGTTGGGAGACATAAACACCATATGCAGGTGATAGTAGAATATTAATACATAATTAAGGAAAGATGACGATTCAAAAGCTGAAGTCATCTCGTTTGTCATGCAGTTTAGTTGTTATTTTGCCCTTACCGTCTATAGTCATTAAATCATCCACATATGAAACAGATGTGGCATATCTAGACTCTGTGGTGTTTTTTATTTCGAGTTTACTGTCTTGCATGGATCTATCGAGTAGACATGCATATGAATTACGTTATTATTGTTAATTGATAAAACTACGTCGATATATCTGAATGTCGAGTTGAAAGCCAAAGTAGGTGTTTTCTTCTTCTCATGTAGCAATTTATAAATGTATTCTGCTTTAAAGGAATATAAAAAGAGATCGGTTAATAAGGGAGCACAAATTAGTGCCTCTCGAAATTCCAACAGATTGTTGGAAGACTTTGTCTCCAAAGACTACAAAGATGTGAATGAGAATCTCCAGCATCCTTTGATATCAACCTCAGAGTTCTTATATACAGTAAGAGAGTGATTTTTATTCCAAAGTAATTTTGTAGATGATCAATCACAAGCTATGAAACTTTTTTTCTGAAATTGCATTTAATTGAGGAATGATTACTGTGGAATCATCTTTGTTTGGGGGAGGCGGGTTCTTGGTTTATGTTGGTCACCATAACCCACAAATTTACATCCACACAAACTATAATTGTCTGTGCATCACTGTATGAACTACTTATCCACAAAATTACTCCCAAAAAACCAGTTAAGGTTTGCCTGCTCTCAAACATTGAGACCTACAAGTTACAATGATTCAAATGACCTTCACAAATTGCAATCATTAAGAATCATCAGTATTCGTACAATGTCATGCTGATGGATGAACTCCAGAATCTGTTCATCACTCCAGGCTTTATTTCCAAACAAGCTGACCAGCACAACCTTTAAAGAAAACCCGTTCATGTACTGAGCCAAAGGGATGTGTTCGTCTTTGGCTATAGTTGACCACTTCTTCACCAAGTTATCCGAAATCTGTGGATAATGAAAGACTAATGTAATTACTTGTTTAAAAGCGAAAAACAAAACCCACCAAATCAAGTAACACTGGATGGTTTTTTGGTTTCGTATATGTTTACTCTACCGCTTTACATAGAAGTCTTTTTTACTGAATAAGTCAACAAAATGTAACTTATTAACATGGTGAAATGCAAATTTTATATAGTTAAGCCTTGCGTTCCTGAGCAAATCGCCAGGATTAATGAAGCGCTTAGATTACTGTTAATCCACCTTTTACAATTTGCAGATATAAATGTATATTCTCTTCCCTACATTTTTTTTTCTGGCAGATGAAGTGTTCAGCTTGTTGGTACCACGATTACAGAGGCAAGTATGTCTGACAACAAACACTGCCGATTTAGACACTGGTATTTAATGTACTAACTTCTTAATATTTTAGCTGTTTGTTATCTCTTACAGTCATTTTAAAAAATCTTATCATGCAAAAATGATAGATATAACTTATATTATAAATCATCATGATAGTCAAACAAGCATTTTACATAAAAGAGAAATGTAGTAATGATATGATTACAATTTTGAAAGAAAATGCTTCCTTTTTTAAAAAATTGCTTATAGATTTCCAATACGTTAAACAGAAACACAAATAAGTCTTTTCAAGTGAGACCATTGTATAATTCAGTTTCTCACAGAAAATGTTTGCATACTCTTGACTTACTTATATACATGTACTTACTTCCGTATAGCTTGGTAGAAGTGATGTAGGTAATTATATAATTACTTCCTGAATCGCTTAATTGTAGTGATGTAGATAATTATATAATTACTTCTTGTATTGCTGGGTAGTAGTGATGTAGGTAATTATATTATTACTTCTTGTATTGCTGGGTAGTAGTGATGTAGGTTATTATATTATTACTTCCTGCATTGCTGGATTGTAGTGATGTAGGTAATTATTTAATTATTTCCTGTATTGCTGGGCTGTTGTGATGTAGGTAATTATATACTTACTTCCTGTATTGCTGGGTTGTAGGGATGTAAGAAATTATATACTAAACTTCTGTAAAGCTGGGTAGAAATGATGATATACTTACCTCCTGAGTAGCTAAATGTATGATGTAGGTAATTATATACTTACTTCCTGTATTGCTGGGTAGTAGTGATGTAGGTAATTATATAATTACTTCCTGTATAGCTGGGTAGTAGTGATGTAGGTAATTATATAATTACTTCCTGTATAGCTGGGTTGTAGTGATGTAGGTAATTATATAATAACTTCCTGTATAGCTGGGTTGTAGTGATGTAGGTAATTATATAATTACTTCCTGTATAGCTGGGTTGTAGTGATGTAGGTAATTATATACTTACTTCCTGTATAGCTGGGTAGTAGTGATGTAGATAATCATGGGCCAGTACAGAATCATAACACTTCCTACGTTTTCTACCGTCAGCCTTGTTGGCATACTGGGGCGACTTCTCTCCAAGCAATGGCTTAAAAAGCTCAAATAAGGACGCTTTATTTGGAAAAAAAAATAATTACCGACGAGTCAGAATTTCAATATATTTTCTTTGATAAGATAGAAATCCAATAATTGATTCATAGATAAATCTCCGACCTCAGACATTGTATGATTTCTCAAATACTTTTAGATGTCCGAAAATCAATGATTTAGAAGTTGTATTTAAAGATGGGACTTTCTTCGACAAACATGTATCCCTGGGATGTGGTCAGGATGTAGAGATTAAGATTCATTGACATTTTGATAAGAGAGATACATCTTCCTAAGATAGATGAGTTTTATTTCTTTATATAACTGGACATTACATAGACTACAGCAGGTACTTAAATTTGGAATTGAAACGTTAAAATCGGGTTCTTTTTCGTGGAGGGGCCTCAAAGAAGGAAATTTCAAATGCAATATTTATATTTTTTTTTTTTGCGATTGAATTTTGTGCCTTTTAGATTTTACCGCAGCACGTACATGTGATTTTTCTCTGTTTTCAATATTTCTTTTCATGTACGAATTATTTAATTATTGTTACGTACAGAATATTTCCTTTAATTAAAATTTGTTAATAAATTTTAAGCCGACAAATCATACATGAATAAAAGTTGTTGCGTATAATAGTAGTTTTATGGTTAACATACGTGGTCGATCAAACACAGATGCGTGCTGTTTGAAGAGTTCCGGAGAACAGATGCTGACCACCAGTTCCTGTCCCATCCAGAAGGCTGTGATGTCCCCGTACTGTTTGTGAAGCATCATCAGGTACTGATGTAGACTCCCAGCCCGTGCAATGTCAGACAGGTTCCCATCTCTATAGCCATAGTGTTAAAATATTTAATCAAACATGGCTTTTATGAACCTCAAGAACCCCCTCCCCCCGAAAAAAAAAAAACAAACAAACATTTTTTTTATATCCATGATTCCTGTCTTTCAGGTAATAATTTTATTCATTTTATAGTTCTTCAAATAAAAAAAGAAAGAAAAACAAAAGAAACCTAGAACTATTCAATACAAGACTAATACAATGATACCCTCCGGGGGGGGGGGGGGCTAAATAGGGCATTCTTTAAAATGAGCGCTGTCATATTCTGCAGAGTCCATGTATCTTTTGATAAGTACCAAGTATTAGGCCGAAGGTTGTAACCCCTTGTTATAAACAACTGAGAATCTGACCATCCAACGTCTTAATTCTAAATGGTCATCATCCAAGGTCCATCTGTCTCCTGGGTAAACTGACCATGACCTATACAAAGAATCATTGCTAAGAACTGTCACAGATCTCTTTGTTACAAGCAATCTTTGTGTCAAGTATGATAAACTAAAACTCCTGAAGAGTTTAATCTTTTAGAATTTTATACTTTCCCAATCTTTATTAGTTGACACTTTTGACTTATATGACCCTGACCTTATCAAATAAACTGAGTTCAGGGTCACGGCATATTCTACAGCATATCTAAGAAGTGGTATAAATCAAATGTGGATTCTCAAAAAACCACAGAACTTAAAGAAAATTTAAAATCTCAAAACTTTTGAAAGATAAATATAGGATCTCCAATGATTTGTAGTTGGATATGATTTTTATCCAACGAGTAGTGTGTTTTTATCCCCGAGCCTTGGCGAGGGGATAAAAACACACAACGAGTTGGATAAAAGTCATATCCAACTAGAAATCATGGGAGATTCTTTTTATCCCATGTTTAATACTTCACAACCAATGTTTTACAATGTTTTATATACATGTAGGACTTTATTTTACTTCATCACGCTAACGCAAAAACCATTGTGACGTCACAACTGCACTTAACTGTGGGATATGAAAAAAATATCCAATGAGTCATATCCACGGGATAAAGGGGTAAACATGGGATAAATGGCATCAGCACATATGACTTTTCTACGCTAAATACTAAATTTGGCAACAGAGTACTCCGTCTGCCTTATCAATACATAGGGCTCACGGTAGGTGGGGATGTTTTCTCCTCCTTGGAACCTGATCCCATCTCTAGTGTTTCCAAGGATCCGTGTTTTTGTTATGTTCTCGATTTATTTTGTTTATTGCATTTATGAGATTGATCACTGTTCGTTATCACCACCTTTTACATCCTATAGTCATTATCAACCCAGACGGCAAGCAAAATCTTCTAAAGTCATTCAATTAAACCATGAGAAGAACAAGAATTTAAAACTTCAACTCATGATCAGTAACCTTGACCTTGTCCAAATGACTATGGTACATTGTTGTTATAAACTCTCTGGTCACAAGCAACTTTTGTGTCTAGTATGGATTTTTATTTTTATTTTTTCCAGATTTACATTAAATAAAATCTTGTTACACAATGTGAACCAACAGTAGCCCAGGAGAGCATGAGCTTAACAAACTTGAACCTCAGACTCAGCGTAGCTTATGAAACAAATATAAAATAAGTTAAAATTTATGAAATTCAATTACTCTTTTGTGGTAGGCTCTGGACCTGGTATTCTTGTAACTCTTCTAGATCCCTGAAGAAAAATTATATAACTTATATAAAAATTGATATTAAACATTACATTTGCACTAAAGTATTTAAAAAATTGTAATTTTGCTTATCGTGATAAATATGTTTGGAAAAAAAGACGAATTTCTGAAGAAATTTATTGTACAAGCATGCTGGGAAATAAAGATTTCCAATGGTGTCAGTTTCGTGAAACCTGTGTTAAATTCTATTGATTACCACAAAATCAAACACTTCCTTCAAGCTTGACTTAAAGTCGGCTTACAGGTGCATAAAAAATCTTCACCAGTAATGAAGAATATATAATCCTTAAAGTTTTTGTTCCCGTCTTTCAGTACTGTATCAATACTTTGATGTTTTTGCAGGTACATGTATATGCATGAGCTATAATACTTATGGGAATAAAAGGCCTAGCTGATGACTCTTACATTTAGAATTTCCTAGATCTCTAATGATACACTCGTTCTTTGGAACACTTTTGTTATGAAAAAGAAAAAGAATTGCACAATTGTGTCAGTTTTTTTTTTTAAAATGATTGTTTAGTTTATTGCTAGCATTCCTGTCAAAGCCCTACGCCGTGGTTTGTAAATGCAAACGTACTGAAAATTACGGAAGCTTTTTTAGGACCTTTCAAAAAATATTTTTGAATTCGATATAACGAATTGTCGAATTTGTTATAACGAATTTATCAGATATAAAAATTTCTTTGAATTCGCTATAACGAATTTAATCTGTTATAACAAATTTGTTTAAGTCATTATAACGAATTCAAAAATTAGTTTTAACGAATTGAATTCGTTAAAACGAACTCTTTAATTTGTTATAACAAATCAAATTCGTTAAAACGAATTCGACAGATCGTTATATCGAATTCATATATATTTTTCTATAGGCCCTGATAGTTGAATTTGAATAAACGATTTAATTCGTTATAAAACAGTTTACAAATTGTTCAAACGAATTTAAATTTGTTATAACAAATTTAAGAATTCATTGAAACGAATTAATTCGTTTTAACAAATTATAACGAATTTGAAGAAATTGTTATGACGAATTAAATTTGTTATATCAAATTTGACAATTCGTTATATCGAATTCAAAAATATTTTTGATAGGTCCTAAATGGGCTTCCGTAGTAAATCTGTTTTTCTACGCAATGTTTTTTCGCGTTAATACGCAAGAATTTCATTCATATAATAGCATAACCAAAGATTGTATAAAATAATAAAATAATATCCACAATAAAAATATAAAATAATAACCAATTCGAGAAAATTTTATCTAGCTCATAAATACAATATCATTGTCTAGCTTAAATAATATGTTTTGTTTTGTGATTTGCGGTACGTTTTACAAAATAGCGGGAGTTTCATTTTGATTATTAATTTATATATTCATGTTTTTGATCAAGAATTATCTTTTTGTGGAGCTAGTATTTTACTGTGGCGGAGCTATAATGCTGATTTTTTTTTTAACTGTGGTGCCAAGCAATTTATATGTAACTGGCGGGGCCGCTACGTTAAACGTTAACGGCCCATGGAGAGTCCTGCTAATTAATGTAAGTTAATACAGACCGCAAGTTTTTCACTCTCTCTTAGGTAGACGTTTTTATGTTAAGGCTTGATAAAATAACAAACACAAGATTTTTTTTTCTCTTCGAACCTAAAACAGATTTTCTGAATTTTATTCTTGAAAAAAAGATACAAACACATACAAAGCCTCGCAGGCAAAATGAGAAACATCAATTTTTCAAACAAATATGACTAAAATGCAAACAGGTCTTCATACTTTATTTAATGGCATGTGATATCCTCAGGCAGATATGTTTCCTTATCCACCCATTACTGGATTTTCAAATCAGTGGAGAATGATGCCACCATATGGGTATCCTTTGATGCTATATCGTAGTGTGCAGCTGGGAACCTTAGTATCCCCAGTGCATGCCACCATGTTCTCTTTATGACTTTAATTGTTAAGTTAGTCTAAATAATCTACCTTATTTTCATGTGCCATCTATAGATATAAGGATTGAATCTGACCTACATTGCCAAGGACAATTTGCTTTAGGGGAAGGAATGCATACTCAAACACTTGGCAGTTCAGGGCCGTTATTTGTTCAGGGTATGTATGTGTCCTTGAATCCTGAACAAGGTTTATGTCTCATACACCTGAGAGTCAAATACATAGCACGTGAATATCCCAGTCAGAGGGCGTTTTGTAATCGTCAAGTAAACGGGATATGACCCATTCATCTGATGTCAAATGCAAAGCACAGGAATATTCCATTCTCTAGGCGGTTTGTTACTGTCGGGTGAATAAAGTATTCCCATTTTACACAACCTAATAGTCAAATGCAAAACACCAACATTGTGCAATTCGTTCGTGTGTTTCTCTATTTTACTAGTCAGACACCAATATGATAAGCCAGTTGAAACATCAACACCCAACTCAGATTCCACATGTTCTGCTGGCAATTCTATTGTGGCATTTTACAGCTTCTCCCCTGATATCCTTAGGGTGAGATAATTCCATGCTGGAGTAATGATAGTGGTATTCATCAAGACTTCCACTCCAGAAGTGAGTCTATTAGTAGAAGACAGAATTCCTCCTGCACTGATTAACGAACTCCTCTCGTCCTCGCCCAGAGACACCAAAAGTAGTTGTCAATTCAGCAGATCTAGCAGAATCAAGGGACATTGCTTCAGTCAAATAGAAGGAGTCATTTTGTACTAGCAAGCAAAGACCAAGTCAGACTTTAGAGATAGTTCCAGTGGAGAGACTGAAAACGGCAATTCACCAGAGAGGATAAAAATCAATTGATTAGGATAGTTCGGAAACTCTGAATTGTAAGGGGAATCGGATTAGTCTCCACTACAGGAGTCTCACTTCGGGTCTGTCCGAAAACTATCAGTCTACTTCTTCAGAGATTTTGCCTTTTCCGATTATCAAGCTAGAGCCAGAAACCGAGACACTCTGTTACAATATAGTCATTCACTAAGGAGGAATTTGAGGTCTCAGCTTGTGATATTTTGGGAGTGGAAAGATGCCCAACATAGACTTGTAGGGTGTTTACTGATACTAATAACCGGGATGGCTTATCCCTGTAACCAATGGCGAGAAGATGTCATACTCAGATCTCGGTGTTACACATAAAATCATCTGGGAAGACTGAACCAAACACAAGAACTACAGTCATCAACAGACGAAACCAGAGAGGATATCGTCATTGAAGTTATGAGTGTAGAAAAGGAGTACATCAACTTCTTCAGGTAGGTAATGTAAAAGGGGATTATAAGGTGTCTGTAATATCTGAATCAAAGATGGAAGCCCTCGGTAGGGAAGAAGCATTTAGCTGTAGCTCATGAAAATTCCAGATTTCCAAATCGGACTAAGTTAATTTGTCGATGGTATGGTTCACGAACGTATAGCAATGAATTCCAGTTCTAAGGTGATCGCAGTACAGCATGGGTGGATCAAGTCAAATATAAATTGTCAAAACTAAGTTATTAATTCAATTTGTTACTAGATTCAGTTTACTGCTTATGATTTACTGCTTATGGCATCAACGATTACTAATGTTCCTCTGATGTCGTGGTAAAATTACCATGCAGTTCAGAAAATGTATGGCTCTAATCTACGCAGTAAAATGTTAAATGCTTGTCATTTGCAATGCTGATAGAACAATCTTACTTATATTAATTTTATTATTGTTGATGTAGAAGTTGACTTCATAAGATCAAACTCATGTTAATTTAATTAATAAACATGCATATCTATATAGATGTCCTTTTGGATCACCCTGTCAGTAGGTCGTTTTGTAATATACCCCCTCAGATTCATGTATTATTAGAATTGTATACCAGGTACTTGTAAAATATATCTTCCTAGAAAAGATCATGAAGATCTGAAAAATCATCATTTCGCCAGGACAAAGAGGAACATTACGTTGGCTGTATAAGAAAGAAAATAGCGAACAGAAGTCTCGTTGATCTAAAGAGGTTAAATTTAGGACTTTGTCCTTCTCATCGAATAAACTCCTTTCATACCCTCTGCGACGTAACTGTGCAACAGTTTCGCTTGGATGCGGGGGACAATGGACCGAGGCCTAAAGCTTCCACAATACTTTGTTCAGAGAGATGGGTTGATGAAAAACTTCCATCATTGTTCCGCAGTCCCAGACCAAGAAACGGACGCATCCATCAGCAACTGTTTCATCAACCACTTTATCATCTATTTTTCTTGGCGTAAGAATTCTGTCCAACCCAGATCTTTAAGTTCTGCGAGAAAATGCAATGAAGTGTGGGCATTCGACCCTAGAGAAGCTGACAGTGTTGTAAGACATATGTGAACAATAACCTTCCGAAGTGCATGAAACAGCGGAATTATTTGTAGTACATATGACACGGCGGATCAGGATTGTTACACATTTACCACAATTCACGTCAAGTTTACTCCCCTTAGACGGAACCTGTTAAGCCCTCCAGAAGCTACCTCACTTGTAAACAAAAGTCAAAGGAACAGATCAGTCAGTCAATGGAGCAAAACTTCCTAATATATATGAATATATACATGAATATATATAAATCCAAAGGTGGATGGAGCCACCTGAGGATTTTACATTGTCACCAACAAGCCTTTTTCAACTGGTGGTCGGTAGTACTGTTTCACCTTTGCAGCCCATGGAAAATGAAGGCTTTCTTGTAGATGGACGTGTTAAAGAGGACATAACTAGTACTCCAGATACCGATGAGATGCAAATTCAGACGGTTGATTCTTCAACAAAAACGAACTTACAGCAAAAGATGTCAATTATGGGTCTACTACGCACTTTCCCGAAGAATCACATTAGTAATATACAGCCATGTGTTGTTCATGAGATTTGTAATACTCGGAAATCTACCGTGTACCATGCCTTTGACAGTCATCTTCATCTTGACAGGACTTGAATCCATAAATGGAAATGTTCATCGGGAAATTTTTGTCCGCATATGGAAATGTTCATCAAGA